ATCCCACCGTTGACGGCAGGAAGCTTGGCCGTTTGATGCGGTTTGGCTGTTTCTTTGACTGTTTATTTTCACCACTTACAGATTGTGGTAGGTCAGCGAGGAGGAGTGCGAGCAAGGGCTCAAAATCTTCCAGGAAGCTTTAGAGGCCAAGAAAGGAACCACATAAATGGAGTAATTGATTGTTTGATGCGACCGAATGATGTGACTGGAGCATGGTGGAGCCCAAGGCTTTTACGAGAAAGTGCTCTTTCTCGTTCCTAGTAGTAAGATGTAGTAAGGTATATAATAAAGGCCAAAAGATGCTAAAAGGGATAGTAGTGATTTGTTTTTTCTGGAGTCGGAAGAGAGTCTGTAGGCGTGCCTGACCTGAGAGCGAAGATAGCTTTGCCGGTCGAGCTCCAAAGCGAGCAACTTTTGAGATGAAGGCATCAGCCACATCAGCGGGGACATCCGGTCACAGCCAGGATTTGACCCCGAGTTTGATACAGCACAATTGTACAGCATTTGCCACATCGGCAAAGGGTTTGCCTGGGCCTTGGCATTGATTCCGAAGAAAGCTGCCGCATTGAAAGTCCACTGAGCCCCTTGGATGGACATGTTTCGTTCTCAGTGGATCGGAGCTTTTCGCCTTTCCACCCGAACAGCCCCACAGCCTGGCGCCGAGCCGAGCTCTCGACATGAAGAACGGTATCCGCGCAGTTGGAGGCCGAGCAAGGAGGCCTTACGTCTACAGGTTTCTGGTTTAGTAGCTTGGAGGCCACTCTTCGTTTGGCCATCGCTAGTTTGGAGGCCATCGCTACCAGCTTGGAGCGCACCACACCGGAACCCCGAGGGCGAAATCCAGAGTGTTTGGAGTGAAATGGACTGAAGGTCTGAGCCAAGAGACCGCAGCTGTCGGTAGTAATGGGACGAGCTTCCTGTAAAGCATCCCATCTACCTAAACCAGGGCTGAGCCTAAGACTAAAACAATGAGATACAGTTGGAGACAATCTCTGAACTTTTTTGTTCAAGCTAGGTTGGAGGCAATAATATTGGCAATTGGCTGCCAGGTCATGTCTGAACATGTTTTCAAGCTGGCGCATAGCTTTTCAGCAATTCAGCGAGCCATGCTGGTCAGGTGTGGCGCCAATCTCTGCGAGCCCGACCATGCCGCTACGCCTTGCGCGGCGGCCGGGAAAGCTCAGAGGGTGGATGAAACGTTGCATCCGATGTGAGGACATGTGTCAAGTTTGGCTTGGGAGTGGATGACGAAGTTCTTCTCTGAGATGTTTTGGCTCTTTTCATTTCGGCCGCAGGGAAACTAAGCTCGATCTGCAGGAATACCTATGACTGGATCGGGGCAGAAACATTGAGCCTAATCAGGAAGATCGAAACAGTGGGAGATCAGCCCTACCCTAGAGGGGTCTTCCCCTTGCTCTGCTGGCTTTTGTGTTTTGCCAAGTTTGAAGAAACGGCTCAGGTCGAGGAGCTTCTCACTTGTGATGTGGGTGTGTATTAAAATAGGGGGGACCCCAATCAATGGGTTTCGCGGCTTTGCCTCTTGTCTCAGTTGAGTCTGTCTGGACCCCACCGGATTTTCACATGAGAGGTACAGGAAGGTTAGAAGTGAATTAGGCTCCTCCTGAGGCACCACGAGGAAAAACCCTTGGCACCACCAAGCTGCTGAAAACGAGGATGCAAATACTGCCAAAGCTGCTGGAAAGCATCAAAGCGAAGCACTTTCTGCGAAGCCACCATGTGATCGAAGCTTGACAGGACGGTCAAGGACGACTTACATAATTGTTTGCCTCGAATGGCTGTCGCATCAGCTTCTTGGCCGTGAAGGTAATTGGCATTCCTTCCATAAAAGTCGGTTGTGTTACACACTCAAGCACCTGTAGACCTTGTTTTGGCCATCTGACTCGCAAAATCTCCGCCTCATGGATAGTCGAAAAATTGCGAACTATTCTGACCGCAAAGAAAGCACAGTCACAGTCCTGCTTCATGTCAGATGCCAGCGCTCGACATTCATGGAGTCGGAGCTGATGTTCATTGTGTGTGTACCACATTCAGCAGTTCTTGGTAAAGAACCAAGACAAACGGCCTGGATGGCGGATGCTCAAGTGACCATCTGCTGAAGCCCCTCAGGAAATTCACCGCGCAGAATGAATGGCATTCCAAACTTCCGTGCAGATCAACCATGTCGTGCGGTCCTCCCGCTTGTGAAAGCTCGAAAGGAGGCCCAAGAGACGCGCCGAAGATGCTGGTTGAGAAATGCCCGGCTGGAAATCATCAGCTCTCGCCTTCTTTGCCAAAGGAGCCACAGCTCTCACAGAGCTCTTGCACCTTCCCAAGAACGATTCAGAAACACCGACAGCATGCCCCTCAGCGTTAACTTGTTTCAGGCTCTTCTCAAAGGCGGAGCAAAAGGCTAAAAGCATTCAGTCAGGATCTCTGGCAGCATGGGCTTTCTGGAATCTGGCTCCCTGTGTGTTGCAGCATTCAGAGGTCTTGGTTTGGAAAACCTCAGGCTCCTTAGAGTTTCTGGGCAAGCTCCAGGTTGTCCGCAGGCTTGACATCGGGCTGCCCCCCCCGTGCATTTCACAGCCGCGTATGGCCAAAATCGCGCCAGCCAGTGGCCAGAGCAAGGGCCAATGTGGCAAATCCTCGAAGTCGGTGTTCATGTCCCCCACAATGAGAGCAGGACCTTTGTAGGCCACCCCACGACGCACAGTTTGCATAAGTGCGAGGAGTGCTTTCAAGATCTTTGGTGAGACTTGTGTCTTAGTGTGTAATTGGACCATACAACGCAGCCGCATAGATGCCAATGCCGTGCCCCAAATCACAGATTCCATCACGGAACCCTAGTGGACAGAGCAACTTCCTCAGGCATAGTAGCCGGATGTGGGCGAATAGGCCATGATGAGAGGATGGCCGTGCCACCCGCTCTTCCACGTAGTCCACCGTTAGAGCCCTTCTGGTTGAGAGACAGCGCTGAGACTTCGGTAGGTGACTGGACTGCTTGAGCTGAGCTGCAACTTCAGCTGCAATCTGCCTGAATCTCACTTTCACATCTTGTTGCCACCAATCTTGGTACCGCATACTCATCTGGACATGCTTGGCCGACAAGGTCAAAGATGAAGTAGACTTCAATGATGAAGTGGACTTCACTCTCTCAATGACTGTGACACCAATATGTTGGCATGTTGGTGGCTCCTTTGCAGCGACCAACCATGAAGCCATGCCCTGTAGCCTGACAACTTTGGCCGCCCACCCTGACTTGGGAGCCTCAGATAGGACGAGTCGCGACTTGGTTGCGGAACATTCCGTAACGTAAGAGCAGGAGCAGCGCCGACGTAATGCAGCATCGATAGCTTCAGCAGTTCGCGGAAAGTGGTGAAGCGCGCGCTTCACGCGACGAGGACCAGCGCTGTGATCTGGAGCTTTGCGATTCCTCTGACGCCAGATTTAACATTTGGTCCAAGAGCGTGTCAGCAACCTTGATGTATCCCTTCCAAAGAGACGCTTTCGGATGAGTGTATAGCTGACAATCATCTCCAAAGCACTGGAGTGCCCCACAAGAAAGGAGATGACACGCTTTGCCCAGGAAGTTGAGGGCTTCGGATGTGAGCTGGAATTTGGATTGGGAAAGCCTTGCAAGTCCGAACCAACCAGCCTGCCCAATGCCTCGCAAAGTTTCACCTGCCACATCGGCTTGAGTGTCGCAGCCATGTTGGGCGTCGTAGACATTCGTAGACGCACTTAATTGAGCTTCTTTTGCAAGGCTGAAAGACAATGCTCTTGGCCGGACAAGCTCGCCCTCAGATGAGCCATTAAAAAAAAACATTACACATTCCCCTTTCTTGCACGCAGCGACGCTTTGGTAACAAAGGCGGAAAGACGATCAACCACAGGACCATGACGCAACACAGTCCAGTCTTTCTCTTCACATCAGCAGCTGTGGATCCAACCGTATTAGCGCCCAACAAGTCAATGATTTGGTCCAGGCAAACTCAGGGTCAAAAGACAACTTGCCGGGCGAAAGGCTCCAAAACAGCAAAAGAAATTGCAGGGCAAATCGGCATCCTCACATCAAAGACATCTTGGCGCGTGAGTGAATAGCCACATCTCTCAGCCTCAGTCAAAATCAGAGCGAAGTCCCAATGCTTTGCAAAGCCTGGGACATTTTCCCCGGCGAAAGGCTGGCGCCCAAGGCTTCGAATAGGAACGATTCCGGTGTCAGAATCCTCCACCCCAGAATCAGTCACCGAACACAATCATTTCACAGACACAGAATGGTCGATGTCAACCAAAAGCTTGCCAGTCCTGAGAACCAATCGAACGATGAAAGTGCACACCCACTATCCAAAGTGGGGTGGAGCAAAATGGTGGATTCGTTAAAGATGCAGTGTGGCGCCCAAAGGAAAGGTACGATGACTATGTCATATGTTCTTGGTGCGACATTCCCAAACCAGTGCTTCAATCCCATCTTCAACATTCTTCAACATCCGGGCATGAGCGCCCAAACACGACGTTCACAAGGTCACCACGATGCCAGTCCATGGCTACGCTACGCGACACCACCACGCTGGCGATTAGCAGGGTCCGCAGCGCTGGAAGGTGCCACCGCTTGAACCAGAAATTCCGAATCAATGGGTTAGTGTATCTCCCTTCTTCCAAGGGGTCTTTGGGAGGTCTCCCTATTTAAAAGCACTCCCATGTGCTCATGCGCGATTAATTCCCAGCCAGATGTGGAGGCTCTTACAGGGCTTCGCTTCAACTTATTCAACTTGCCTCTTCCTTTCAGGTCTGGTGTTTGGCACGGCTCCTCAGCATAACGAGAAGCGGAAATCACATTGACATGGTCGTTGCCCGAACAAAGACGCCGATGTTGTTCACCCATGTTTATTTGCCGTGCTCAAGTTCCCCGACGTTAGCCAGCGGCTAGTAGGTGGATGTACTGAAGACAAACGTTGAGTAGCTCAGACAGGACTCACATTCACATATATGACTTGTGTAGACCTTGGCACAGATTGCGCAGCCACACAGCCATGGCGGCCAACCCCAAAATCCGAAGGATGTATGTGGATTCCCGCGATGGGAAAGAACTTTCGTGGGAATTTTTGCAGAGGCATGTAGCGAGACGTTTGTACATATTGGCGAAAGATGGAGGTGAACAACCCAGTAATATAAAAAACTGGAACAAACACGTCAAGGAAAAGTGGCTCTTAGGGGCCAGAGCGAGGAAGATTTGGCAGCAGTTGGCTGTGAAGCATGTGCCAGTGATTCACGAATACGGTGAAGGGGGGATGCCCTTTCTGGCGCAGGTTGAGGAGGTTTGCAAAGCTTTAGACGTTGAGAGACACCAAGATGAAGACCTAAAATTGGTCGAACACATTGTCCAGCACAGTCCAAAGCGCCCAAAAATGATGGGCCCACAAAATGATGAATGGGTGTTTCCCGAAAAGGAAGAAGTGGAAATGGTAAGGCTCAGAAAGATTCCAAAGTCCTCCTTTGACCAGCCCGTCCAGTGGTCTGCAAACTATTTCACGCAACAAATCCTAGAAGACGAAATGTTGAGACAGATGGAATTCGTGGACGTCGAAGATGGCAAGGAGGCTGAAGATTCTGAGGTGAACCCACTAGTGAGGCCACTGGACAACAGTGAGAAACTTCAGGACGCGGCCTACGTATCTCCCTCAGATGAACCAGTGATACACTTGGTCCGGTTCCTCCGACTGCAATCAGCCCACGATGCGTGGCATTTGCGAGAAGTGCAGGAAACCGTGTGCACCTTGCTTGGCATCCCTCTTTTGCGCAGCTCAGTGCGAGAAGAGACGTTCCCTGAAGATCAGGGCACACCAATTTGGGCTCGTGCTGGAGGAAGGCTTTATCGATCGGCCTGCAGGCATTGCGTCACATCGCGGCCTGAACAGGTGTTTGAGCATGCTTTCGACGCGATCCCAATAGGACAGATAGAGAACAATGAATTCAGCCAAATTTTGCAACTCTGGCCGGTATATTGTACCTTCAGGCTTCAGGGTGAGCGACCGATGGACACTGTCCAGTGGCTCGCATTTGGAGATGATGAAAAACCCATTGCCACTCGAGAGGCGGAAGACCGCGAAAGCTGTGTCTCCGCACTGCTCGGCCTGGTGCCAGGACCTTGCCTGGCGGAATCACACTGGCACCTGTTTGTGGCCAGGCTGTTGCTGAGTGTCCACAACGACCTGCAGCTCTTTAGTCAAGTGCAGCTCCCATTCTGTGCTCATGACGCGCGGAAGGACACTGCACTCAGATGCTACACACAGGAGATGCCTCAATGTACAGCATCCCAACCACCACATCCTCAGGACCTTTGGGAATCAACAAAGCGCTTTTTGACGATCTCGCTTCAAGCTCACGGTCGAGAAGGAGAAGTGGATGGAATGGTGGCCCAGTTGCGCCAGCAGTCGGAAGGAATCGTGGACGTTGCTCCGGAGTTGTGGAAGATTCTTTTCTCAGGGAATACTCCAGAAGCTCGTTGGGGAGGCTTGTGCAGGTTGCTCGAACGGTGTGAGAACCTTGAGGCCAATGTCCACGAGTCAGTTCTAGCAGCTTTGCTTGCAGGGTATCCGAAGCAGTTCAATTTGAACGACAGAGTGGCCTTGCCTTTTTCGCCAAAAGAAGTCCCTGCGCTGCAGGCTGCCCTGCAGTTCTTATTGCTGCTGAAGGAAGAGCCCTCAGAAAGCGAACTGGCGCGTTTTCTTGCTCAACTGCGGAAAAGGGCCGTGGGCCGACACTTGAGAAAGATCAATCCGCAGTTCCTTGGCAAAGAAGAACTGCCCAACATGCGTCGATTTGGAGCCCTTGTGATTGACTTCATGGCCTGGTGGAAATACCTTCAGGAGCACGAAAGCACGCACGAAGGCCCATTGGAAACGTTCTTCCGGAACCGCGGGCAAATCTGGAAGCAGTTCATGGAACAACACCTTCCCAAACCATGGGAGAACACTTACAAAACACCACGGCTTCGAAAGCCTCTTTCGCATTCCCAGGTTGAGTACCTCAGAGCATACTTGCTCAAGATTGAGTGGCCAGACATATACACGATGCAGAGACTACAGCGACACGTGTCCCTCCGTACCCAGGCTTCCTTTTATGACTGGAGAAAAACCGAACTTCCACAGCTTAAGAGAACCACAAAAGCTTCACCTCGGGTGCGTCGCCCACGCGTCCATCGGCGGCTGCACCGCCTTTGGGCGGCGTCTAGACACAAGGCTGCCCGCCGGAATATTTGCCGGCCTGCTCCACCCAATCCCTATGCACCTCGAGCTGCGCAACCTTCTGCCAGTGACCCTGCTGGTTACAACGAAGCTGGTGGCAAAGCTGGTGCTGAAGCTGATGAGAATGCGGGTGTGAGCCAGACTAGAGAGAACGATGCCATTGTGAGCGAGTTTAGTGACTCCGACTGGAGTGACAGCTCCACATAGTGGCTCTACTGCTGGCCACACATCCAAAATGCTCAGCAGCTGAAGCCTGTAGCCTTGCAAAGTGAGGGGCGATCATGTTCGAGATGGCAAAGCGAAGGGGCAGGTTTGAAAAAGATGGTGCCGAGCATTGCCGAGCCACTTGATGTTCACTTTGTATGGCAACCATCTCTGCACTTAAAGGAGTTTCACCTTTCTTTCAAAGCTTGACAAAATGCACAGGTTGGAAGACCCTGAAGAATCCTGAAGACGTCAGCCAGCACAGTCAGATGCCCATGTTAGTCCCTAACTTGTGGGCTTTGCATGTTCAAACGGTCGAAAATGATCCCTCTTGGCTGTAGCTTTCAATTTCACTTGGAAAACATCCCCCGACAGCCCAAGGTCTGAACAAGAGTTGGCCGCCTTCTTGCACAAGGCCTGCAAGTGCACATCGCGAGCTCCAAGTTTGGTCAGATTGTGGTGAATTTTTCCGACTGGGTGTGGCATTCAGGGTCTTTCCGCCTGAGACCTGAGGTGTGAACGGGTTTGAACTTAGAGAAGTTCATTTCCTTGGTTCAGTCATTCAGTGAGAGCCAGAGGTTCAACATGGTTGTTTCTGACAAGTTGTTTCATTGATTGTTGGCTGTTTGACCTCCGCAGTCGATCTTGTTTCTTTTCCTTCCATGTTTCATTTGTTGCTTACAGCGCAGATTTGTAGCAAGCTTGGCCCATATGCACCAGCATTGTTCAAAAATCAGTGAAGGGTTGCTCGCCATGGCCCGAGAGAGAAGAGATTTGCAAAGTTTTGCTGATCATGAGCTTGGGAAGAAGCAAATCACCACCAGCTCTCTGACCGCCCGATCCGCGCGATTTTGGAATTTTGATCCTGGAACAGCCAAGCAGTCCAATGCGTCAGGATGTGACAGCTTCCCAGAGTTGCAGTTGATCATGCGGCAGTCCTATCACAATGAGGTGGAGAAGCACATCCGATAGATTACTCCGGACCAGACCGAGCCCTTCTAGAGGGCTTTTGCCCTCGTGCCAGGCTTTCAGGAGCCAGAGATCATTGGTTGCATGCCTGGCAACCCAAGACAATTTGCAAATTCTCTTTTCAATTCAAGGAGATGAGTGAAGATGTGCCAAGGTATGATCAGTCTGTCTTAATGGAATGCAGACAGAAAGATGCTTCACGGACTTGGTGCTGGAGATTTGCAGCTGGCAAAGACAGGCAGCTGGAACACTTAACTTGCCCGCAGAAGATACGGACTTTTTGAGCTTTCTCTTGCCCTCTTGCCACTTGTCTCCATTTGACGTACCTTGCCCCACTTGCCAAATCTGTATCCCCGCGTCTGAAGATACGGACAAGCCCTGCCCTCTCTCTCTTGCCCCAGAAAGCCCTGCCCCAACCCTGCACATCCCGCGATGTGCCCCGACAAATGTGCGATTGGAACAACTCTAGCAAGGACGCTATTAGGGGCTCCTGGCCATGCTACTAGGAGCAAGGAAGCTACTAGAAGCTGGGTACGCCAAGAGCAGTGCAGTCGCAAAATTCTATTCTCGTTTGACTGGAAAGGGCGTAGCATGGCAAGAATGATTTTTGTGACATGTTGCGTGTACACAGTGGAAGAAGGCGACCATGTGTTCCCGCGACTCATGGTCGGTGAACACTACTTTCCTGGCGATTTCCGCACAATGGAAATCATGGCCATGTGGACCCTCAGGCATTCTCGCTACTAGGAGCAAGGACGCTACTAGGGGCTCCTGGCCGTACTACTAGGAGCAAGGAAGCTATTAGGGGCTCCTGGCATCGCTAGGAGCAAGGACGCTATTAGGGGCTCGTGGCATCGCTACTAGGAGCAAGGACGCTATTTGGGGCTCCTGGCATCGCTACTATAGGAGAAAGGACGCTATTAGGGGCTCCTGGCATCGCTACTATAGGAGAAAGGACGCTATTAGGGGCTCCTGGCATCGCTAGTAGGAGCAAGGATGCTACTAGAAGCGAGCCGTGGGAAGCAGGTTCTGGACTTGCAAAGAGTGCATCGGGGGGACTGGCGGGTTGTCTCGAAGAAAGCCATAATTTTGATCCTGACAGACCCTCAGGTGGTTTCGTTGGATAGATCGTTCGGGCCTGGGATGGCCTTGGAGATGAAGGGATGGAAGCTTTCGATCTCACCGTTGTGACGGTTCATTGCTCAGCGATGGGGCGTTGCTTTGATCAAGCAGCAAAATGTACAGGACTCGTTTGCAGCAAACCTACTTGTTTTTTTTTGAGAAGTTCTTTTGTTTGGAAGGTCGACAAAAAGACGCCAGCTCCTCGAAAGGCATAATTTTTGCGGATGCAGATGAAGCCATCGGACTTCAAAAGGAAATAAGAGTGGAAATAAAAGTGAACTCTGACTCACTAGCATGGAAAAGGAGTTCGCCCCTCGAGTTTTTTTAAATGTATTTGTACAACTATAAGTAACAGCGTGTTGACTGGTGCGGTCCCGGTGGACCAAAGCGTTTCCTTTTTTGATTTGTCTAGTACAGTTGATGATCATGACAATGAGCTGGCTTCGCCGTCCCATGGCTGAGTCCACGCGCATTGGACATGGTCTTTTGCAAATAGTCATTAAGATGTAGCAATGCTTGGGGACAAGGGTTTCAACATGTTTCAACCACGGGAATGGTCAGGGGGTGAGAAAGAATCATGTCCTTCCGGGAAGGATGCTGCATACGACTACAGCATTGACCTCTGCCACACCAACCACTGCAGCTACATCAGGTAATTCTGGAAGCATTTCAGATTTGCGAGTTGCCGACCCTTTAGCTCGTTGCCTTTAGCTGCTATAGCTCCCACTTTTCCATGGGTGAAGAGTTGGCCACAGAGGACCGAGATGAGAATCCAGGAGACACCCATGGGGCGTTCAGCTGAATCTGGCAGACCGGCGACCAAGCCCGACACCTGTGAATGGTGAGAATCTTGAAGCGAATCAGCCTGCCATTGTTTGAATGGTTCCATCTCAAGCACAAAAAATACAAGGGTCTCAGTCTCAACAGAGTACTCGTTCAGACAGACCCAAAGCCTCTGCTTGCAAACTCAACCAGAAGTGCGCTGTGGAGACTTGCGAGTCGCTCGAAGTTGACTCGCCTTGAAAGGTCCCGACACCTCTGAGTGAGGCGACTCACAAAGCACGCCCTCTCTCAGACTCAGAAGAAACTGCGATCGTTCCTCCCAAAGAGGGCGAGCATTGCGTACGGCCCAGAGAAGAGGGCAAGAAGAGGGCACTCTATCCCCTTTGCTACTAGTAGCCCTTTGTTCCTAGTAGCGATGCCCTTTGTTACCAGTGCATCTTCAGCTCATGTCATCGCCATCGATTCTGAATTCTCAATTTCAGAGGAGGAACAGCAGTCGTTCCAAAGAAATCATTTCCCTGCCCGTGGACGTCTACCGTGTGGAACGCAAGATGGATCGAACGTTGTAACGTTGAACTTCACACAAGCCGTGAGCCCAACCGTTCGTGATGGTAGACCAATTTTTGATCTGAATGTTCTCAGCTTGCAGAAAGTTGATCGCTTGAGGGAGTTGGAGCCTTAGATGTGGTATGGCAGAACGGGCTTTGGAGGTCCTTGTCCAATCACAGGCCAGGCTTTGGGCATTGAAGCACTGCACTATTGCCATGACATGGCGACCTCTTTTTGTTCGTGTGCGGGTGCGTCCAGCGGATGCCGAATATCGAGCCAAATCCACAAGTACAATTGACGGAGTGGTCATCAGTTTTGGTCATTTCGAGATCGCGGTCACCTTCACCAACTTTTAAGGCGATTTTCGAAGTCATGCTGCCTCACGGGCAACACTCGTTTGTGCCCGATCACTCTGCGAACAACAGTCCGCAAAAAAGTCTGTGCAAGTCGTTTCTACCTGAATCATTTCGCTCTTGAACATCACAATAAAAGCACCTGTCCTGCCTTTTCATTTCCTGTTGTGGTTTTGGAGGACATCCAGTTCTACGGCGTGCCGCCCGGAGCACGTGGGAGCCTCGGCTGCCCGCTGGGAATCCGTTTCAGACAGTGTGGTTTAGGCAAGAGTTCCTTATTATTCCTTATTCCTAGTAGCGATGCCCTTGTTACTAGTAG